TGGATGCCGAATACTTTGGGGAGTCTGCCAGAAAGAAACTTGACCCCAAAGAAAACCGTCCGTATTCTTTTGACGCCCGCTCCTCAGTATTTCACGTCTAGATGCTTAGACTTTGTTGATAACAAGCTGCTCCTATTTATAGGACCAAGTTTTAGTATCCACTTCGTCGCTTTTCTATACGTTTTGCTATAGTTCGATTTTTGTTGTTGTTGACCAGAGGATTGTCAGAAAGAGTTGTTAAATTATTATTGTATATAATTTTAATTTAAATATTGTTAGGGCTGTGACAGATATTACGTAATATTTATATACTATAAGGGTACCCCCCCTCCCCCCCCATGTAAGATCAATTATGATTGGCTAATTTCATATTATAAAAAAAATACTAGTTTATAGTTTTTAAGTAATTATAAACTAATAATATTTGAACATTAAAGTAATATAATCTAATTATAAAATTTAATTTATTTTGTCAGAAATTATCAATTTACTTTTGTACTTTAACAATGTAACTTAAAGCATTACATGTCTTGCCAAAAAACTCAAAAACCTCAACCTAATTTTCTTTGATAATACTTATGTTATTTTAAAAACTTCAAGATTCTAAATTAAGACTACTGCTATAAACCTCCACTCAAATATTCGAATAACTGAAGATTTAGCCTTATCAAGTATCTAATCAAGGCGTATGTATTTAACCTTTGGGTAATTCTTAATATGAAATTCCTTTCTACACTACAATTAGTGTTAGATAAGGAATTGTTAAACAACGTAACTATAGCCTCTTAATATAGTAATTAATGTATGGTGCAAGAAAAAAGAATCTAATCCAAATTTGTAACAAAGTCGATAATCAAAGAAGTTACTTACAGGGAGAAAGCACATGGCATACCATGTTCAGACTTGTAAAGTTTCAGGGCTGAAAACAAATAAACTTGGCAATAACACTTCAATAACTGGGGTCTGCGCATTTTTACAATTTGCACGTCGATTCAATTACACCCAATATAAGATACAAGGACAAGTTTTACTCCTGATTACTGTTGTATATAAATCACCTTTGGAAGCCTATGGACGTTATCTTAAAACAAGGCGTATCATTTCTATAGATTCAAAATTCAAAATAATGCCCATGGTTGTTATTTCATAACTTCATAGATAATATAATGAATTGTTGTAAAATAGATCGTGTGGTTTAAGTTAGTAATGAAATAAATAGAAAAGCTATGAAGTCATATGCATGTAATGAAAAAAACTCATGAGTGTACGGCACAAACTCTATCGCAAAGCTTATCTCAACTGACTTATTGAATTGCTATAAAAGAGTTATTACATATTATTAGCCAACATTTAAAATTAAATAATAAATTTGACCAGTATTCCATAACTCATACCTCTATTTTGTCGCATGAATATCTAACATAATGAGTCGGCAAACCTTTCTTTTCAGTCCAAAGTTCAATAAGACTTATATATACAAATCTCCTAATACCAAATATCAGCAGTTCACTAATGCATTTGCATACCGTTTAATGGTAGAAAATGAAAATCCAATTCCAGATAAATTAAATATATGTGATGCTGCTACAAAAGAATAGAACAATGTTAAAAAATTTGAAGAAACTAGAATTGACAATATTATAAAAGAGTACTTAGCTACACCCATTAAATTAAACGGATTCATCAGGTCTACTACTTCATCTCAAAAAACAAAAAATCCAGAAATTACAGCCGGTAGTTCTTCCCGTACTGCAATACTAACAACAATTCCTATAGAAGAAGAAATTCAGAATAATGCAACAGCTCAAAAACAGATAGCTAGTTCTAAAGAAATTGCTGAAAAAAAAATTAAAGAGTTGGAACAAATATATCCCTTAAACTGTATTCCAGGCAAATTTGCCTGGAAAATTTAATTGTATTTAGTATTTTTTAAATAAAAT